AATCATCGGTGGCATCGCGCGCCGGCAACGATTCCGGATAACGAATCGAGGCATGTGATCTCGGAAGTAGGTACTCTACATAGATATGGCGGGCAAGACGTAAGCGGACGGACATATTGGAAAGCCTGCGGACATCCCTGTAAAGTGTCCTGCGAAACATGTGTAGTTCCGTGGGCGATGTGCGGAAGGCGACCGACCCCCGAGGTTTGCCGCGAATGTCCCAGACGACAAGTTTGCAGCGAATGTTGTCCTCGGCCGGGCTCAGTGTCAGTCTGTCAAAACTGTTCCCCCCGGGGGAAGAAGCGGGCAGTCGAGGGATGAGCCGAGGGGAGGTTTACACGGCGAAATCTCGGTCCGCTCTCGGTCGTCTGATGAAGTCGCTGAGGTCGACTCGGTAAACAAAAGGTTTAACCAGCTGCGGGATCACAATGGCCCTTGAAATATGGCCTCTTTGGCAGAGAAGCAAACATTGCCGCCGCCGCCCGCCGACGCTAGTCTGGCCTCAAATATCGAACGAATGAACGAAGCTGTCGAGCGCGCGCGCAAGAGATGACCCCCGTCTTGCCTCTCGGCTTTCCTCTCGAACACTCAACGGATCGGGAGTCTGGAAATTAATTGCTCCCGCACAACTGAGCAACCTAATCCGCCAATTATTATCGAAGAAACTCGCACAATCCTCCACGAAGACGCGAGAGCGAGCACTTGGGCGGATAGACTGTGGGAGCACTACCATGACACGTGCGACATCGCGGGAAACTCCCAGTTTATTCCTGGAGCTCGGCACTTCGTGCTCTGCGCGAGGCGAATGGCTTATGTATGTAGCTCGCAGTCGAATGGTTCTTATCCGGTCACTCAGTCAGTCATGAGGCCTTTCAATGCTGATTTCCTTCCAGAAACTCTCGAATTATGGCTTCTCTCAGGAAGGAAGGAACTTTTGTCTCCCAGTTTTTCGACGTTGGGCTCTGGCGGTGGAATTTCCGTGCGGAGCAACCATCAGGCTCGGAAAATGCAAGCGAAGACAGACTCTATCAGAGAGAACGACGGTCGGGAGCAGGAAGTAGAAAATGCGCGGAAGAGCGTTCTTCCCCGCGCTCCGCCCATCTTCGAGGCGTCGTCCTCGACGAAAAACGTCCTGACGAAGGTTTCGCGGGCGAATTTGCATTTGCTGACCTCAAGCAGCCACCTGTGAAAGTTAAAAACATATTGCATCATTCTGGCTTGCGAGCGTGGTCTGAATCCGAGTGCTCGGGGGCGACCGAGTTGAGTTTCCTTTGTGTTGATGACCGGCTCGTCGTCGGATCCTCCGACTGCTATCGAGCGTTCACTGTTGCAGCCTTCTCTTTCTTCAAAAACTTATTCCACTTCTCTCGTATTCTGAATGCCCAAAGTTCCTCGGGCGAATCGTTTTCTCGCGGTCTCGACCCCGACATCTGCTCGAAACGCTTCCATATATTCATAGGGCGCATTATTGGGTTATGGTGGATATTCCGGGATCCTCTTCGAATTATTCGCTTGGGCTGAATGATATGGAGCGAACGAGTTTTCAAGCAGTAGCCGCAGCAGACCTTGCTCGATGACAGATCGAGAGAGACTCGCTCTCGGTCGTGGAAGAGATATTCATTGCCTCGAAGCGACCATAATCTTCCGCGGAAGCATCAATAGATTGAGGACAACTGAGCCGAACCTCCTCTTTCCCCGGAGCGGATCGGTCGGAGTTGGTGAGAAAAAAATCGATAATAATGAATTGTCTCCGGACCCGGACAAGCATCCGTCGAAACGACATCCAGGTTGTTGTTTTTGTCGAACTGGTCAGTATGCATGTGGTCAGCGTGCATGGCTTGATTTTTCGCTCGCTCCCGCACTCTGTTCCGTCGGTCGGAAGTGCACATCCAGTTATTGAGATTGAAACAGGCATTCCGAAATGGGCGTAGTCCTCAACCTCGTTGAGGAGCGAGCCATGTTTTTCTATTTTTGTTCCGAACGCAACACATGTCCTGCAGCCTCTCCACGGGTAACTGTATAGGTCATGCTACACAGCGCACAGTAACTGCAGTTCACTCTTTTTTTCTTCTTCGTTTTCACTCTCCACTCAATTGAATGTATCGGTAGAGCGCCGATGCAATGCCCAGAAAAAAAAAACACCTGGATTAGGTACGAGAACTCAAAGAGCACCGACCGACCCGGTTGTCGAGCCTGGGAGGCGGCTGAACAAGGGTTGTAAAAAATAGCCAAATGAATATCATTTACTCCCTCTGCGGTCACTCGTTCCACATTCGGTCGGAGGTAGTTTCGAAACCTCTCGAAAGCGTACAAACCCGCGCCCTTCGGTCACGCAGGACCTCATTCCTCCAAGTGCGAACGGATGTATTTTCTCGGCGTTTCAGATCGTATGTACTTCGAGAACAGCTCGCGATTGTAGAGGGTATGTGGAGGCGTGCGTGAGGTGTGTTTCTCCTCGAGGTGCGTGAGGTCTTTCTCTTCTCATTGTGCCTGCAGAAGACGAGCAACGCTCGCGGCATCAATGGCGGCTTCGGCAGCGCGTAGCTGGCTCTCGAGTTCTGAAGTGGTGCATAGAAATCCCTTGAGATCAAATGGCGAGTTGCCACTTGACTCTGGAGTAGTTTCGAGTGCGCCTTCAGGAAACCGCATAATTTTGAGTCTCGCGCCAATCTGTCGTCGTACTGACTGAGTGAGTGAGTAAATGAGCGAATGAGGCTTTACCGAGTATCGAGAGTGACCATGCATCGAAGGGGGTCGCGTATGTTTTCATATCGATCGGAAAAGGCCACGTACTACGCCGCAAACGAGTTTCGCTTCGAGGAACAACACCATCAGCCACGATGTTGTGTTAGAGGTCGACTGGACGATGGCCATGCTCTGCGGTTTCGGACGAAGTCGCGATAGGAGCTCGCATGAAACCTCAATAATTGGTCGGTCTGTCGCTCGGTCGGTCATCCTATCGGTTGGTCGGTCGGTCACCAATCGGTTGGTCGGTCGGTCGGTCGACCTGATCGCACCCGCTTGCCGAACGGGCGAAGTTTGAGGGTGCAAACTTCAGTTTCTTTCTGCGCGGACAAGTTCCCGACCGTCGATGATGACGGAAGAACGCCGGCGCCGCGATATCCACCGACCGTGACCGTTAAATTTTGTAATTCACGTGTGGGAGTAAAAGAGTCTAGTCAAACAGTCCCGTTATTCCGGCTTTGTTGCGGCCGTGCTCATTGTAGTTGTTCAGTTTGTGTTGCTCTGCTGACGGCTGTCGCGCTTATATTGTTGTGCTTGTTGTACTTTAGTAGCCATTGAATAAATGAACTTCAGTCGCGCTCGTTTTCGCTGCTGACACGGCCGCTCGTTGTTTAGAGTTCAGTACGCCGAGTACGGCGCGGCGACGTCGACTACGGTAGTGTCGGGAGCGGCGGCGCGCGGTTTGTTGTTATGCATTCGACTGATAGTACATACAACGATTCGGTCGCCACATTTGGGTACATTAGGCTTCGCTTGGTGGTCAGTCGCTCGTCCGGCCGCCTGTCCGCTCGTTCGACCGCTGCCGCCAGACCCCGTCACGTTGGAGGAATTAACTCGCGTACAAAATGCATGGCCGCCCTCGACCCGATTGCATGGCGGCAAATAATGTATGGTATTAATACGCCGAGCAGAAAGCCCTTTAAAAGGAGTTATCTTTGTATGTGTCGTTGCTCCCACAACTTTTGCCTGGGATTGTTTTCCTCGGTGATCCCTGTCAGCGATCGCGCAAGGTCGTCATGCAAGTTCGGAGTTCCGTGGACTAGAATCCGTCCCTGGGGTCGAAAGCGACCCGAGCACTGACATCCTACCCACATGTCTGGGAGAAAACGCGACTCGGATCATCCAGTGGAATAAATGCGGGCGCGCTTCGAACCACCGAGAGAGAGATGAAGAAAATCTGTATATGCAGACGAGAGATGAAATCCAATCTTGTGTCGTTGTTCAAGAGCTCGAGAACTCGCGTTTGCGCGTTTATATATTGAAGTTTATTCGTTCATTTGTGGGCTAGGCGGGTTGGCTGGTCGCTATCTGGCACTATCTCGTCGTTGCCTTCGTCTGGAGAATTTTTGTTGTTGCATTGTGTATTCTCCGCGCGACCCCGTGAGGTCCTGAATAGACATTGATTAGCTTTCTGGTTCCCAAGCAGGGGAGTGAGTGAATTCGTAACCCAATCTGGTTCGTATGGGTTCGCTCGGGCAGTCTTTCTCTGGCTGGCAGGCAGCGAGCCTGCCAGCCAGCCAACTAGGGAGCGAGCGAGCTAGCTAGCTAGTTGAATGACGCGCAGACTCCGGCTGGTACTTTGTTAAACGGAAATACCAACAACAATCACCCGATCGTACAATACAAGTCGGCGAGGCGGGCGAGTCTGCCTCCCGAGCGAAGCGAAATAGTCAGCGGCACCGATCGCCGCTCTCGCCCGGTGCAACATCGGTTCGGTCGCTGTCGTTCCGACGAGCGGCTTCGTCGTACCGGCGGCGGCGTCCCATTCGGCGTGGTGCCTCCGCCACGAGCTGGTACCGACTAGCAGGTCGACCGCTCGGCAGCCTCCAAGAAGAAGAAGGGGCTCCTTCCAGCTGGGAAAGGGTATCGTGACGTCACAGCTTCCCTCTCCCGAGTCGAAAGCTCCCTTCGATCACGGACGGGCCGTCGCAAGGCACAGGACCGCTTCAGATCGAATGAAGGCGTGGAGCAGGAGGGCTGACGCTCCGTCTCTCGGATTAAACGAATTGTGTGTGCTCTATGCTGGATTGCTGTCGAAGCTGAATGAGAACTCAGTCAGCACTGACAGTTGTTGTCGTCTGTCAGCAAAATGTGGCACATCGGCCGGCCTAGTGGAAAAGAATATCTAGTGTTTCTGTTCGTTTAGTGCTGGATCGTTGAACTGACAGTCGGTGGTGGTAGTGGTCAGTTGGTCGTCGCTACTGAACTGACACTACTAATCGCTAACAGTGAATTATTTCGCTCGGTGTGGTGATATGGCCGTCAAGTCGAGCTCGATGGTTCTATTCGATCCCGACAACCAAAGGGATGCAAACATGGATACTCAATATAACAGCTCGACTCAGACCAAAGGATATCTTCAGAATTTCTACCACTATCCCGACATCGGAACCACCAAGTTACCGCCGCAGGTGAGATTCTCTCGATTTTCCCCGATCAACTGTCGTCGTCGTCGTCGCCGCTGTCGCTGCACAGTTTGTATTTCGCGCAATGGAAAGGGAACTCCCTCCTCGACAATCACAGCCGTGGTGGCCGCCTGTGCTGCCGCCACCGTTGCTGTTGTTGCCTTTACCGCGACTCCCGCCACTGTCCCTGATGTCAAGACGACCAGGAAGGAGTGAGCGATGAAATCTCCGGAAAAGGGGGCTCTCGATGCGCAGGTAGCTGCTCCAAGAGCGAAAAATCCGAATCACATGGCCGGCTCGGACTCTGATGATGACTCTCCCGGAACGCGTTTCCATGAGAAGGGCGAGCCAAAAAACTGGTTTCGGCCCGAGCGATACGTTTGCCGATACGTTCGAACTCGCCGATGAATCGAGGTAGCGGACGAGGAAGAAGTTTGCCGTATATCACGGTTTCGAATGGTGTCGATTAGAGCACCGTTCACATTCAGACGATCTTCACGTAAGTTGGTCGGTGCGAGTTGTGCTTTTCTACCCGGTCGTGCCGTCGAACTGTACGTGCTGCTCATAATCGGAGAGCATGTGGGCGGCCGAGGGGTACCCATGAAAAGAAAGCACATGTTCGGTCCTTTCGATACTTCTTCCCAATGCCTCGTCGTGATGTTGGCCGCCGCCGTCGAGAGCTGTTTTCGGGTTCACCTGTGTCCACATTCTAGAAATCGCTGTTTGCCTGGTGCCCCTCCGGTCTGAGCTCCGCTCTTTTTTTTCACAACATTTCTCCCACTTTCGGCGGCTCGCTCGATTCGCTAAGCGAGTCAGCCCTCCGTTTGATAGTGAACTACGTTCTATCATCGAACAAATATCGGCTGCGATCGAGACGATTTGTTGCCTGGTCGAGCCCATGATAAGAAACTGCTCGTCGAACGGCCGGCATCGTCGTCACTCTGCCCTGACCGAGAGAAGAAGAAAAATTCGCTGCATCAGAGCGAACGGAAGGAAAGATTCGGGAAGATGAAGTAGACTGCGGGCAAAAAGCACAGAGTTCTGATAAAGCTTAGTATCAGTTGCCGCGGCTGTCACCACACCCAGAGAGTAATTAGAACCAGCAACTTTGGGAGGTCACGCATACAGACTGTATGTGGTATGCCGTTGCTAGTCATCGATCTCTCTGTCTTTGTTCCGTACGCCGCTGCCGCACGCAAACACATACTTATCAGTGAACTGCAACTTCTCGAGTGAGATCAGCCCGAACGAGTGTCGGTGCCTTCGTTTCTCCAACGGGGATCCCTTACTTCCGCATGGACTCGCTGGTCTCAGGACCTTCCAGGCAGCGAACCCCGAGACTGAATCCGCCCAGAGAGCTTGTTCCGTAAGTCGCGACCGTTCGACCGGTCACCAAAACGGACGGGGAGGTTCATTCAATCATTACAGCCTTGGAAAAGGGAAGGAGGGGAAAAAACGACACGGTAGCCCGGTAGAGGGTTCAAGCACGTCGAATTGGGTTGAGGAGAGCTACGGTGTAATGTGCGCTTATGGCTCCCATAAGGGCCATATGTGAACGACTCTTGATGCGCTTCTGCCCCGCTCTAGGTTCGTCGAGATTTTTCTCGGCGTGGTCGGAACAAGTACGAGATGTACAAGTGTGGAAACAGAGAAATCAGCGCTTGAGCGATAGGAGTGTGAGTCACGCTCATGTCAGATCCTATGTTTGCTCGATGCCAGTTCACCGCCAGCGCGCTCATTGAAAAGATCGCTCCTGAGGCTCGGGAGAATTTCTCCAAGAGATAAGTTATCCGATAGCCTCTCGAGTGAGTGTTTGACCACTTTGCGCGGCGGGCTAGGGACAGAGATTACGACCGACCAACCGACCGACGGCGGAGCGACGATGCTTTGTTAGTGGCTGGCATGAGTCAGCAGCAGACACTTCAAACCATTCGAGTTTATGGAGCAAATCGTTGATTTTTCGCTGAGGGTTCCGAATCTCTGTCAGTTTGCTTCGTCTGCCCCTGACCTCTTCGCTCCTTCTCGCTCCGGAAACCGGGGTCGGCGGTACCTACATGGATTCTCGCTCCATGTTTCGATACGCAACTCTCCGCGCAAGCTGGCCGGCTGCGAGGAATTTCCAATACTTGATCTTCTTCCTCCAATAGTTGGCCGAGGCTTCGGGAGTGCGTTTGAGCAACTGAGTCCCCTGGAACCCGGAGGGGTAGACGGCCAGTCCGCTGCTGGAGACCGACCGAGAGGTACACAGATACCGTCTGGCATTCTATATCTGCGTAGGTTGCCACACAATTTAAAATTCACCCCTACACACTGAATCTGTGGAGCGTAAAATTCGATTGTATAGTCCATACAGCGGGGGACTATTGGGTTCCATGGGGTGGGCGAACAAACGAGAGGGAAAAAGAATGAGCTAGTTATAGCGTGAAATTGCTCCTGCCACCAGACACGCGAATCGGATAGTGCGTGTCTAGGAATACCTGTATCCTGAGCTCGAGTGATGCATAGGTCGAGCGACCGGGAGAAGCAGCCCTCTCGACACGAACGATCGGAACGAGTCATTGGAGCCCGAAGTCGCGGTGGATCGACTGAACTCCGGGTTGAGTCGTTGGACGAGACGACGCGCATCGAATGCACGATCGAAGCCAAGAGGAGATCTCTCAATATAATATATACCCGTAAAGCGCTTTTGCTTAATTTCCTCTCAGTCGCCGCCGCCTCTACGGCTGCAGCCATTGTCAAGTGAATGAAGGGAAAACTGGCTCAAGCGGTCAGGGTAGCGTTTTATTGATCGTCTCTCTCGGCGTGCTCTTTTGTGTGCTGCTAAGCTTGCTTGTTCGTCACTCGAAGAAGAAGACAATACCTAAATGACTACGCTGTGCCTTTTTCTCTCTCTATTTTCTCGTTCTTCCCCGCTCGATATACCCCGCTTCGTCAGTCAGTTAGGCCGTGACTGAATGACGAGGCGAACATTCGGCGGAATCGTTGAACTTTCGTTTGTTCTCGGTTTTTCAAGAGAAAAATTAGCCAGACAATCCTCCTCGTCTCCCATATCCTCCGCCAATTATAAGAGTCGCGAGAGGGTTCGCGGTCGACAGGAGGGAACTTGGTCGAGTTTCGAGAACTGTTCATTGCTCTGCCTTTTTTCATCGATTTTTCCGGAGAAGCGTGATCGGTGCTTGGCCCCACGGATTAATTCGGCTGGAGCTGCGAATGTTAAAGCTGCAATTGAATTTCGGCTTCACCTTGGCTTGTCCAGTTTTCTATTTGTGTGCATTCATGGCAAAACCATGCTCGTCGCCTGCGTGGCCAATGTGATCGCTGTTGCGTGCGTTCATTTCTTTCCTCAATTTGGTTTTGTGCGTGCTTCTACCGTCGACTATCCAGACAGTCGACCGGCAGACCAGTCAGTCACCCGCCTGATGTTGGCGTGGTCGAGCAGCTATTGAACGTGCGGTAATGTCCTCTTTGTTTTGACAAAGTCGCCGTACGCGCACTTACACGCATATATTCTTGTGCTGTTCTTTTGTTTCATGATGTTGAACGAAGCTATGATTTCACGAAATTTCAATACGAACATGATCCCATCCCTCGTCGCTCTTTGGTAATACTAGGCTCGCGTCTTACTTCGGACGCGATGATCCATTTGTTGTTCGTCTCATTGTGAGCTAGTGCATAATCATCAGGGGGGGTGACCGACGAAACCGGACGTCAAAAGCAGAGAAGACAGAAGAAAAACTCCACTGAAACTCGCTGAAGCTGCGGCAGGAATCTCACCGAGTGAGAGATGGATCCTGAATTGAATAAATATACGTTTATTCAGAAGAGGCCGATTTTCGATTCGAGGTGGAGAGTTTCCGGGAATTCTATGCGGTCGCAAAGCAGAAAACTTCGTCGCCGTTCCGAAGTTTGACGGGTTCTCACGATTTCGTTTAGCAGAGGAGTGAGCCATGTCGCGGCCCAAGGTGGAAGCTCGAGCAGAAAGCAACGGCGAGAGCAGCGAATTTCGAATGTACTAGGAATGTCGTCGCTACGCCTCAAGGTGATGATGGTGGATCTCAAGCTGCCGGCCTAGCCGACTTCGCTCACAGCCAGGCTGGCTATTCGCTTGGTTGGTTGGCTGGCTGGCTGAGTGGAGGGATGGTGGTTCGGTCGCTCGCCTCGAGAGGACAGATTTGAAATGCAGATTTCCTTCGCGGATTTGTGCTCCTCTCGCCGACCAAACGAGGAGCCGGCGACGAAAACCTGAAGTCCGAATGAATTTAGCGGCACCTTGAAGGGCTGCGGCGATGCTGGCTCCTGACTCTTTGCCGGCTGCCGGGTCGACTGCCGGGACGGTCTGTCGATGCGATAGCTGTCAGCAGCGTTTTGCTGCTTTCGCTCTTAACCCCAATACACGGCGATATGGCGAACGCTCAAGCGGGTCGCGTGTGGAGGGCGATTTTAATTGGGCTAGGTACATCCTTCGGCGGCAATAAATCCAGCGAGGAACGAGATTAACTCCTGCGCCAAGGAAACCACACCAGGGAAACTCAGCTACCGAGGCACGTCGCTCTGTTTCATCGTTCCATGGGCGCTCTCGGAGCGGAGTCCCGTCATTAGGAGCCGTACCTGGCGAATATTCTACTCGTCTTTAGGAAGCGCCCATGCAATAGTAGACTGACGGTGATCGAGCGAGCCAGCGAGCGAGCGGCGAAACCATGTTCGCGAACCAGCGTCGGTTCAGAAAAACGATCTCTCTCCTTTCTTCTTTTTCGGGGATTTTTCGGAATCAGAACATGTGTGCGAGTCTTCGCCGAGCCGGCAGGCGATTTCCAGGCTTGACCCCCGACGAGAGAGCGAGAAGAAGCAATCAAGGAACACGACTTTATGCGGCCATAAACACGTTTGTCACGGTGTCATTGGAAACCTCTCGATTTGTCCCAGCACCAACAGTTGTTGCTGTCGGCAGCGACACCATCAGAACCGGCGCCAGAAGCGCCGTTATCGGGTTTTACGGCGCGGCAGAA